TGTTTTCAGGTTCCGCCTCTCTTTGCCAGAGTCCAATCGTGACAATATTGAGGTAGGAATCAGAGTCTCATCATTCCCTGTCCAGGGAGAATGTGAATCCTCCTATAGAGTAGCTGGATGACTGTTTTCTATGCCTTGAGGAGTACTTGGTTTTCCCAGGAGTGTAGGTTTTAACTTTAAAATTCTTTCTGTAGCTACTGGTCAGTCCACCAAGCCCATTAACTATTAAACAAGAGAGGAACTTTCCAATTCACTTTTATCTACTCAGAAAGACTTTAAAAGGAACTTGAAAGACTGTTAAGACACTGTGTAATGTTGGGGGGGTGCATCTTTAGGAAGATTTTATTTTTTTCTAAAATAATCCTTTATAGTTCAATTTAAGATCCAGACTCCCAAAGAACGAGGCTCCATGTCAGTTATTAGGCCATGATCAAGTTTGCTCTTTGAAGGCTTTCTATCCACCTCTTAAAATTAGGTCAAGGCTGGTTGTATGGATACCTTGTGAGGGGTGCGGCCTGGTGACCTCCTGATTGGAAGAGTATATCCCAGCATGCAACTTGGAAGCCCCCCTCCCAAGCTTCAGGAAGATCAGCCAAATCACTAGTTGGCATCCAACTTCACGGGGCTTATATTCTAGAGCAGTGATTCTCAAGTAGGGTCACCCTGGATTAGCACCTCTGTGGCATAGCCATTTGGTAGATGACAGACAATAGTCAGTGAGAATGCATAGCTGACTGACTTGTAAATAATATTTCCTGAGCCCTGAGGAGTCAAAATGAGTCCAGGTCTTCCAGGAAGACCCAGAAAAACTGCTCACTACCAACAACAGAGTGTACTAACCATGACATTTCTGGGGGGAAAAAATGACAATAGTATATACCAGGCATAATGTTAATTTGTATAATCCTGACAACATCCTATGCGATTAGTACTGTTATCGTCACTTTTCAGTTGAGGAGCTTGAGGCACAGAGAGGTTAAGGCACTTTCCCAGCATCACACAGTAAAGTGGTATAAACAAGAGGTAAAGCTAGGAAATCTGCTTCAGAGCCACCCTTGTTAAGCTGCAAAGAGGTCCTTATTATTGCTAAACCTAGAGGGTGTTCAAAAAATATTCATTGAATGAATCCATGTTTATCATAGTCCATTTAGTTTTTAATATTTGAGCCTTCCCAGAAATCAGCACTTTGCTAAGACTATACAACTACCATAGTTTATTAAAGATAAATTGGGCTTCTGGTGATGTCATTAACCATGGCACATAACATAATGCTGTGGCTGGGCTTCCCAGTAAATTAAGGAAAGACTACGCATTGGGATATGTGTTAGTTGTCCAGGATTGTCTTACTTGGTAGATATCTAAGCTGCCATGTTTGCTGCCACCAGATGGTCCTTTGGCATTTGTTGTCACCATGATCCAGGGTAGAGGGGAGCAGAAATGTCTATCCTCAAGGAGGCAAAGGGATTGGGAAACTCTGTAGTGTGGTTTCCCACAAAATAGCTTTCAGAGTCTGGAAGCTAGAATACGTATCTCTATGGGAGATTCTAATCATAGCTCTCTATCCCGGTAAGGTCTGGGAAAGTGCAGGCCTACCCCAGGCATGGCTCTTTCACAATGCCCAAGTGATTTCGTTTCCCCTTTCATTTCAGGTCTTAAGGTTTGAAAATATTTTGTCCTCCATTCTCCACTTTGGCGTCCTCCCACTGGCCAACGGTAAGAGGTCCTTGGGAAACAGTGTGACTCTGACATTGGCCAAATGTCGGGGATTGTTTGGGACTTTCCACCCAAAGCTTGTACTTCTCAGGTGTTATTAGGAATCCAGGCCAGAGCCACAATTTGCAAAGTTTGTACCATCAAGGATACGGTTGCAAAATTAGTTCTTCCAGATCCAAGCCTTGTTAGCAACTCTGCATGAAGACTCGGCAAGAAAGGCTATCTCTGGTTGAGTTATGGAGATTGAAATCATTCTCCTTACACAGGGAAGAGTCGCCTTCAGCCACAAATGGCATTATTCTCCTTAGCGGTCGGTGTCTCTCTGGTTCTTATGCAAAGACCACCATCTGGATAGACACAGTTTTCATGAATGACAAATGTTCACACACAGCAGCATCTTGAGTTTGGCTTAATTAAATTATACTTTGTATTGGAGACCAGAATGTTCTCAGGACCCAAAAAGTAAGGTGTTTTCAAAATATGAATTGGACAAGGTGCCAGCATGTTTCTGCCATCCAAATGCACATAATTGCAGGTGCCTTTCTATTAAGAATGAATTAATTAACCACTCTTCCGGGGCAATGCTAGGGACATGTCAGAAAAAATGAAAACAAAGGACCAGGGAGAATGAAAAGATAGATTATTTAAAAGCTGCCTGTTAGTCTCTTACTGAAAAGCTTGACAAATCTTCTGTGCCCGTGCCCAATTATGTTACATCTTGTTTTATATTTTAGCAAAATTGCAGCAAGGATTTCCTCTGCCCAGCCCACACAAAATCTCATTCGTCAATTCAGACATTGAAGTCCTTGAGGTAAGAATGTGAAGTCTCTTAACTGCCCCATTGCTGCTCATAGTAGAATAAGCCTCCTTCTATTTGCTTACCTTCTGTTTTATTTTGTTCTGCTTTGCTTTTTTCCGAGCCCAAGGAATCTTATAAACAAAATGTTTAGCTCTTGAAGCTTGCAGTTAACAACGAAGAGCATTTAAACTTGAATTTTAGAATCAGGCCAGGTCCCATTTCCCTTTGCAGCCAATTTTATTCACACCCCAGAACAAGAGGCACGGTGGTGCACTTTTATTTTCTTTATTCCATAAAACAGCCTGGAAGGCTGGGAGTATCCATCCCATTTTATAGATGAGGAAAGTAAGATTCAGAGAGGTGAAATGGTTTATGGAGCTTGCAAAAGGCATGGCTGGGGGTAGGGGAGGAGAGGATGTGACGCAGTAGGACCTGGTAAAGAAAACCACCTCTTCCTCACCCCTCAGGTAAACCCAGACATCCTATGGCTGTAGATGCCTCAAGTTTCACCTTATCTTTATTGTTACATCTTTTTCAGCATTTCCTTTTGATTTCCACTGACCTGAAGTATGAAACGCCCTTAAAACAGCAACCAAGTTTCTACGGTTGGGAAGGTCTGAATCTCATAAATGGACAGTGGAGGGGGAACTCAGTGCCCTGATTGCTGGTTTGGAGTCCGCTCCAGGAAGTCAATGGCCCTTAATCCCACCGACTGTCAACGGAGAAGGAGAAAACAGTGCACGCTGGAGTCTTAAAGTTCCTGTGGAGTGCCTAGGCTGAAAGTTTTCCTTCTCAAGCCCTCTGCGACAGAGGGAGCAAACTGGGTTAAAGAGTTAAACCAGGATGTGTGTGTCTCTGTGTATGTGTAGGGATATGTTCATTTGAATGTGTGTTCATGTTTCAATGCATGTTGTGTGTTTCTGTGTTTATAAGATTCTGTGGCCCAGAGCTAGGCCTGTGCTTCTGAAGAGGTATGTGAGAAACGCGTAAGGACAGATTTGAATTGGTGTTGTCAGTGGAGATCCCTTCGGCCCTTTCAGCTCTCGAGGGTTCTCCCCCTTCCTGTATGTCGGATTTTGTGTTTTATATTTACTGCTACTGTCCCCTGTATTTAATTAAAATTGTTTTCTATCGATGTCAATCTTGTCTTTTTATTTGCAAAATTTCCTGTCCCTTTGTAAAATAAAATAAGACAGAAAAGAGGGAAGAGAATTTAGCATCTTTAATGTTGATGAAAACTGAGGTTGTGCAGATTTCAAGGCTTAATTTTGCCTCTTAGGTGTTTCCAATGACAAACAGGAAACTCTGGAAGTTATAACACTTCTTTAAGTTTCAGGGTGTTTTCCTTCCCAGATTAAATGAAATGGCAGTGCCTAGTACTAGCCCTGGATAACTCACACTTGATGATGGTGATGATGATGATGATGATGATGATGATGATGATAATGTTGTTAGAGCACCTAATCAATGGGGTGTAATTGAGACAAAAGAGGAGGACAGGGAGACTGGAATGGAGGATGTAAGAAATGAATAGAAACCACAAACTTTGCTTTTGTGTTGTTTGTAATCTAGTCGGGGGATGGAAGAGAGTGGTTGATTGGAGTTCTAACCACATGCCAGACCCTATGTAGGTTACTGCAGGAGTGTCGGTTCATTGCGTCCCCACAGCCTCTCTATGAAGAATTATGATCCCATTTTATAGATGAGGACACAAAGGTCAAGAGAGATTAAACACACAAAGCTGGTAAACGGCAAAAGTAGAAACTGAATCCAAGTCTTTCTGATTCCCAAGTCGTTGTTGTTTACAAGGTAGGACTAGAAACTGAAATCACTGAAAGCTCACTTACTACTCTGAACATGAGACACTGCAGACAAAAGCATGATCATAGAGTACTGAGTCGCCAAAGAAAGACTGCGCACATCTGGCCATAACAGCTGCCCCTTCAGTGCTTGTTGTAATGAAACTGGCATGTTTAATGCTTTGGGGGTGCCCTTTTGCGATATAAAAGTTACTCAAGGTATATCCACAAATTCATTCTGAAACATTACAAATGTTCAGTGGTGGCATTTATTTAAACATGTTCATCTTTCTCAGCTGGTGGGGATGAAACTCCAGGCTGATTTATTCATTAGAGCAGCGACCCAACCCAGATTCAGTACGTTTTCCAGTACTGCAAGCACTTCCAAAGCAAAAGGTAGCTAGGTCGTGCTAAAAACTGCTGGATTTAGCTCGGTTGGCTTTAGCCTGGAGACAATGACTAGTGACTACCCAAAAAAGGACAACACGGGCGGGCAGTCTAACTTAACTGAGAGAAAAGCGGTTGTGCGATGAGTTTGGGGCCTCGGTACTTGCCGTAGCCCCTCCTGTTGCGGAGCCGGCCGCGCCTGCGCGCTGAGTCCCGGAAGTGGTGCTCGGGATCCCGGGACAGCGCGGCAGCTCTCTTCAAAGCGGCACCGGCACCGGGCGTTGATACCCGTAGTCGCCGCCATGAGTCGCAACTACAACGATGAGCTGCAGTTCTTGGAAAAGATCAATAAAAACTGCTGGAGAATCAAAAAGGGCTTCGTGCCTAACATGCAGGTGAGACGGGGGAGCGAGAGCCGGTGGCGGGGCCTTCCCGCCGGGGGCTCGCGGCGCCTCGGCCTCCCGCTGGGCCTCCTCGCCCTCCCGTTGCCCCACGAGCGCTGGGGCCGCCCCACCCCCATCAAAGTCCCTCTCACCCCACCCTCTGGCCTCGGGACCGGGGTGCCGACCCCGTCTCCCCGCTGAAAGGTCTCCAGACCACGTGGACGAGCAAAGCGGGGTTTGTCTAGGCGGGTTCCCAGCAAGTGCGAAGGCGGCGTTTGCAGACCCTTTCACACATGAGTGTCACAAACGCACCGTAAGAGGCGTTCCATTCCCGGGCTTCGGGGACGTCCGTTGCCTTTTACGAGGTGGCACGGCCAGTCCGGGGTAGAGTTGCTGGGTCTGGAACTCCATTCCTCCACGTCCTGCTGGTCATGTGACCTTTACAGATGGGTGTTCGCCGAACCAGATTGTAGCATTCGCTGCTCCGCGTTGGTTTTTAATAAAGCGGTTTTGTTCCTCACGGCCGCCTGGAAAGTTCACAGGGCAGGCATGGGGGTGACACTGGTTAACAGATGGGTACAGGTTTCAGGTGCACAATTCTACCCATCATCTGTGCACTGCATTGTGTGTGCACCGCCCCAAGCCAAGTCTCCATCTGTCACCATTTGTCCCCTCTTTACCCTCTTCTCCTATATCCCCTCCAGCCATCACCACACTAAAACCCACTGATATTGTACAAGCACAAGAACGCTGAGATCTTTGGGCAATAAGAGCAATTGAAAGACTTTTATCACCTGTACAAAGTGTTTTACCTGTTACATTCTTAAATGTGGCTTTGAGAATAGGAGAATGAATAAAACAAATTGTGAACATTTCAGAATAATACATTTTTAAGATATACAGTTGACCCATGAACAACTCAGGTTTGAACTGCATGGGTCCATTTATACATGGACTTTTTTTTCAATAAATACTATAATTTTCTTTTCTCTAGCTTACTTTACTGTAAGAATATAGTACTAGTACATATACAAAGTACATGTTAACTGTTCATGGTATCAGTAAGGCTTCCAGTTAGACTATTATTCGTAGTTAAAAGTTTTTTTTTTTGGGGGGGGGGTCAAAAGTTACAGATTTTCAACTACTTGGTTGGGGGAGGGGTTTGTCAGTGCCTTAAACCCCCACGTTTTTCGGGGGCAACTGTGTTTAAGGATGGGAACATCTTGTACTTTTTTATAGGAAGTTTTCTGCTTGTTTAAGGTAATGTGAAAGTATTTTATAAAGAGTAAAGCAAAATGAATATTGCATACGGTATTTGTATTCTATCCAGTGTCTGTATGTCATGTACATGTGCTCAGACATAGTTCTTCATTTTCTTTGGTACCAGGGTTGAAGGAATTTTCTATGTAAATGATGCTCTGGAAAAATTAATGTTTGAGGAATTAAGGGAATGCGTGTCGAGGTGGCGTAAGTGCATTAGAATTTTATATGTGGTCATGTAAGTATGTCTTCCTGTAGCCTGAAAAATATGGTAATTCAGATATTATTTAAAAATACAGAAATATTGTCAAGAAACAACCAAGACTTGAAATGAGACCTAAAAAACTCTTTTTAATTTGTGCTTATATTGTTAGCTACCTGACCTTGTAGAAACCATTTAGAGTGAGATGGAACTGGTTGGTTTTGAAGCCAACCTTGGGTAATAATAAGAGCTATCATTTATTGTGCATTTACTGTGTGCCAGGCACTTTACCAGGTGCTTAACTTAGGTTATCTCATGTAATTCCTAGAGGAATTCTAAGAGGAAGATACTATCTCCATTTTAAAGATGTGCAAGTCAAGGTTCAGTGAGGCTAACTAATTTTAACCCTTTGCACTCCGAACCATTCTGGACATTGGCTACCAGCTACTCGACGCTACTTTGCAGCGGAAACGTGCATTTACAGACCCTCGTATTATTTAGTATAATTTTGGAACCAAGTAACGTATTATAATGATAATTGGACTTATATGAATTGGGTGACATCGAGGAATGTATATTTGCAAAAAAAAACAATATTTTATTGTTTATAATTTTGTACAGTATGATAAGTTTTGTAACACTCCCCAATATGCATTGCAGGCTGATTAGTGCATGTTTGACAGTAATAAGTGGTTTGACGCCTGCCACCAGGTGTTTTCCTGTTAGAACACACAATGCAGTCCCGTTTTCTTTGTCCCACATTGGGAATATGTAGTTTATTGTTTAATCCGACACAAAACCCGCTGACATTTCTTGTATATATCTTAGTGATTTTACGATATTTTGATTTAATTTCTTGTGCCATTTCAAGATAAAACTTCAGGGAAACATGCATGTCTCAAAAAGTTGCGTTGAAATAACTCAATTCCCCGTAATCACTAATAAACTGCAATGTCCCCTGAGAGGGGACATCCGAGTGATATGCTAGAATTCCGATGTCCCCTGAGAGGGGACAGCGGAGTGCAAAGGGTTAATTGTCCGAGGTTGCACAACTTCTTGGTGACAGAGCCAGATTTCAGACCCAGAAGTAACTGATTCCAAAGTCAGTATTCTTAACCAGTACACTGATTAGTCTTACTTAACTTCAGTTTTCTCATCTATAAAGGACATTTTATTACACCTATTTGGCAGGATTACAGTGAGCTTATGAGATAAATGTAAAAAGCTCTAATAGTAATGGTGGAATTGAAATCTAATTTTAATCCTTTTATTTTTTAGATCAACAAACTTAGTCCCACCTGCCTCCTGCCACAGTATGTTCACTTGCCTAAAATGACAGCGACCAAGTGACAGAGCTGGAGCTAGAATAGAACCCCAGTTCCCTGACTCTTAATCCCGTGTTTTTTCAACTCCACATTGCCCCTCTTCGTCACTTAGAGTAAAACCAATGTTGATGTTTTTTGATAAATAAGGTGAACTATGAAAGAATACATTTTTTATATTGACAACATAATGTTTAATAATTATGTTTTACATTTCCCAGTACTTTTGCAAACAACCTTCCCTGGTTTGCACAGAACACTGACAGGTGTTTGTCATTAGTCTGGTCGCCCTCGCTACCTCTCTGCGCATGTGCTGCCTAAAGAAGCTGCCTTCACACTTCCATCTCAAATGTCCTTTTATATTGTTTTAGTAGCCTTGTCACTTCCCTTCATGTAACGCAACCTAGAAATGTAGGAATATACTTACTAAAAAGCAAATGTGTCCTCTAATTTTGAATTTTTTGTCTTCAGGTGTTGGTGGCTTCCTGCCTGCCATGAAACAAATTGGCAATGTGGCAGCCCTGCCTGGGATTGTTCATGTGAGTCCATGTTCAGAGCTTTAATCATTTATATTTTCTCTTAGTCTAAAAGTTTGTTGAATAGATAAATGACCATGCCTAACTATAGTGGTGTCATTTAGACCAGCGGTCGCCAACCTTTCGGACCTCGTGGACGACCAGTTGGCGACCACTGATTTTGAACATCTAGAAATAACCCTGGGACATAAAGAAATAATGGGCCTGAATAATATCACAGATTCTGGTTGCAGCCTATAAGCGTTTGAGAACTTTGGAAGTAGTTTTTAATGTGTTCTTGTTTTTTTGTCATTATACATCGTTTTTCCTGGATTAGTATACACCACCATTGTAGTTTTCACTGGCCCCATTTAAGAGAATGATTGGAGAAGGAACGGAAAGAAGTTTAAGGGTTGGGATTGAGAGGGAGAGAGGACTGTATAGCATTCTGGACGTGATTGAAAAAGAGGGTAGTGATGAGGCAGAAAATTAGTTACAAAACAGAGCAACCAGTTGCAGTCCAGGAGCCGGGGGAACCAGAGAAGGCTCCAACCCAGGAATGAATGAGGGGAGTGAATTAATGGAGCCCCAGTGACCTGGAGCTCAGGCCTTAGGCCCCAACAGAGGTGTTCTTATTCTCAAGATGCTCATTCTGGCCTTCAGGCTGTGGACTGGGTGGGGCCTCTCACATGACCTTGACCTCTCCCCTCAAAAGCCCAGGACGCCACTCCTCCCCTCCAAGCCATTCTGCGCAGACAAGGGGCCAGACCAGCATCCTGCTCAGGTTTCCTGACCTGTGCCGCCTTGGGCCTCACCCCTGCGTCTCCCTGTCTGCTGAGGGTATCACAGGGATGGTGGCCTGGGCCTCTTGCTCCTCCTTTTGTTTAAGGAAACAACTAAAACGAATGTTATTAGCTTGTACAGGAAAAAGAAAAGAAAAAGGGTAGTGAAGGCAACAGAGATAAAACTGGATGGTATAAGTGGGCCCTCACTGCAGTCTAACATTCAGATTCCATCATTACAGGTAGATGTTAAAAATGAATCCATTCTACAGACATTTTTTGAGGTCTTAATGCCAGTTTCTATGCTGGGCAGTGGGGAGGCAGGGATAAAAAGACAGGGCTTATGGATATGAAGAACTCACAGGTGTCTGGTATCTCCATAAATCCTCACCCTGTTTTACCTGCATTCCTCCTGGATCAGGATCCCTTTCTAGGTCCCAGATGTAGAAAGTATACAGTATGCATACCATTAAATGGATTACATTTGTCTGTGATTGCTTAAATACCAAGGACCTATATAAGTCAGATATTTCTCCTTTTAACCTGACATGACCACAACTTGTCAGTGTCTATCTTTTGATGCCTTTAAAATGTGATAGCACATCAAAGGTAGTCTGTGGTCCACTTGTTATCATGTTATACTGAGGCTTTTCTGTTTAGGTTTCCTTAGTTAATGTCAGACTTTATAAGAAGGATTTTCTCCACTGTATTAACTTCGTGATTAGGAATGTTTACACTTAATTTTCACCAATAGAGAATATTTTATGAAAGTAGGATCTTGATTTGGGGAAGGCTTTAACTTGCAGCCTCTCTGAGAATTAGTATCAGGATCATCAGGCAACCAGAGTGCCAGGTTAAACAAGCTGTATTTCATTCTCTAACTCTCTTTCAGCGATCTATTGGGCTTCCTGATGTCCATTCAGGTTATGGGTTTGCTATTGGGAATATGGCAGCCTTTGATATGAATGACCCTGAAGCAGTGGTGTCCCCAGGTAAGGTGACTGCATGCTGCTGTCAAGTGTGTACCTCCTCTCAGCCTATCATCGCCTCGGTGAACTAGAGCATGGCTGCTTCCTGTGTGCTTCTCTGTCTCACCCAACACTATCATTCCTTTTCCTCGTTTACTGAGAGAATTCATTGTGGACACTCAGAGGCTCTTAAAATATCAAGTAAAGCATATAGTTAGGAGAATGCTTCAGGCTCTTACTATATGCCAGGCGCTATTCAAACATTGGCTACAAAACAAACACTTTATGTCACAGTTACCTCTTGGGCAAATTGCAGCATTATTGTAAGGATTAAATGAGCTAAGCTGTGGAAAATACTTAGAACAGTGCTAGGCACATAGCAAGTACCCGGTGTTTGCTTTCATTGTCATCATTATTTACCTGCTTGTCTTTCCTGCTTGTGTGTGCTTTCACTGGAAATAATTCACATCAGAATCTGAGGGGGGCGGGGAAAGTACAAATCACATCTTGAGAGTTTTGCCTCTGGCACTGGTTAACATGGATGTTGCAGACAAATCCCCTGCTGGGAATAAGGAAGGCTGGATAAAAAAAAAAAAAAAAAAATTATTTGAGAGCTTGGGAAAGTTATTATGGCAGCAAGAATTTGTGAGGCTACAAGCCCCACATTGAACACTGTTTTTCTCGAGGTAATGGAGCTTTCACTCAGTAAGGATATAGAGGATTTGAACAATTGACAAACTTGACACCTTGACCTCTAATTTACATTCATGGTTGTGTGTGTGGCTGCCTTTAAACCCTCATCAGTGGTGGGCAACCACAGGTCGCAATGCCCAGCTGCCTGATTTTCCTAATATTTGACTGACTTTTCTCTGTTTTGTAGGTGGTGTCGGATTTGACATCAATTGCGGGGTTCGCTTGCTAAGAACCAATTTAGATGAAAGCGATGTCCAGCCTGTGAAGGAGCAACTTGCCCAAGCTATGTTTGACCACATCCCTGTTGGGGTGGGATCCAAAGGTGTCATCCCAATGAATGCCAAGTAAGCGCACAAGGTTCTAATAAATGGAGTGAGAGAAATAATGCCCGTCAGACCCTCACAGTCATTTCCAATTCAGGACACTTAGGAGATGGGGATTGTTCAGCCTCTTGACAGGAAGTGGTAATGAATTGGTTTTTTAAGCATGAGGTCCAGCCCACTTTGAAAAGCATGCCTGGAACATATAAATAAATACTACTCATTTTTATAAATGTTTAGATAGGAATTTTGTCCTATAAATAATGTTTGAAGTGGGCTATAGTAGGCAGGAACATTAAACATTGCAATCTCTCCTGGCACTGTTTTGGAAGAGGTCTGGACCTTAGATGAAGATCAGAGCTTTTTCCTTCTAGGGGTTTTAATGTATGTGCATCTTGGCTTCTAAATGCAGGTGCAGTAAAGCCTGGTCTTTACTTTGTACTTTTATTGTACTTCTGTGAAGGTAGGAATAGAGCTTAAAACTTGTGTTGCCTAAGGACATTTAGATAGCTTTATGTATTATTTGACTAATTTTCCATAAATTATTAATGAAGGCAGGTAGCTGTGGTAAAGTTAATGGTAAATAGTGACATCTGATTATGGTCATAAATCTTTGGCTGCTTGATTAGCACCTCATGGAATGCAGGATCAGAGAGGCAAATCTAATGTAAATAAGATTTGAAAACTATAAATAAAGAGCTATATAAATGTCAAGGAAGAACTGTAATCATCTCTGATATAGCATTTACTGTTTTATATTACAGTTATTTATGTAGCTGCTTTCCTGAGAAAACTTTAAAGTTGCTGAGAGCATAAACTTTATATCTGGCACAATGCCTGGTACACAGGTGTTAGTTGATAAATGTAGCTTTTCCTCTACCCTTTGAGATTTTCATCATCCCTAGGTTTTGATCTGCCTTGACTGTGAAATGACCAGCACCTTATTACTCACTCAGAGACTTGGAAGAGGCCTTGGAGATGGGTGTGGACTGGTCGCTAAGAGAAGGCTACGCCTGGGCTGAAGACAAGGAGCACTGTGAGGAGTATGGGAGAATGCTGCAAGCTGACCCCAATAAGGTCTCTGCGAGGGCGAAAAAAAGAGGCCTTCCTCAGGTAACACTCACTTTGGAGGGGGGACATGTTAATATTTTTCATATTATTTTTTTGTTGGTGGTGGGAAAAAATGTGTCTTCTATGTAGGAAATATACATCCCCAGATTTTTTCATAGTATATCAAAACGAGCACAGATTTGTTTGTGCTTCATTCTTACTCTTTTTTTTTTTTTTTTTTTATATATATTTTATTGATTCTCCACAGAGAGGAAGGGAGAGAGATAGATAGAGAGTTAGAAACATCGATCAGCTGCCTCCTGCACATCTCCCATGGGGGATGTGCCCGCAACCCAGGCACATGCCCCTGACCGGAATCGAACCCGGGACCCTTCAGTCCGCAGGCCGACGCTCCATCCACTGAGCCAAACCGGCCTCGGCCATTCTTACTCTTAAAAAGTTATCAGGATCTTGCCAATGTTCATAAGATAAAACAAGATACCATGAATTAGAAGTGGATGGGGAAAAATGGGATCAGGCTTAAAATGTATGCTAAAATTGCTTTGACAATCTAAGATTTGGCTGAAAGTTTTCTCATATCTAAGATGAAAAGAGATGCCTTGTCAATTATTGGTATCCATGAGATAAGAATATACCAGATATTACAACTAATTTTGATGGCTTTGCCAGTAATTCACTGTGACCTTGGGCAAGTCTTTTTTGCCTATTTGGGACTCATTTTCTCATCTGAAAATTGGGATAATTAAAGCTAGGCAACTTCTAAAAACTCTTCAAGCACTGCCATACTCTGGTTTCCTAAATCATCTATTAGCTCCAGTTAAGGGACATAGACTTTCAATGACGGATAATGTTGTCAGTGAACTCATAGTTGTTTGTCTCCAAACTTGACCCTTCTCCCAATAATGTTTAAAATGTCCTTTGAACCACTTAATGGTATGGTTTTTGGTTTATGAAGCTTTTGATATGTGTGTGCCTCAAGCAGATAATGATACAATAAACTTCAGGAGCTGCTCTGCCTTATCTCTGTTGTGTAGACTATTGCTTAAAATGAGTGAAGCATTTCAAAAGCTTAGAAATATTTTTGTTACATAAAACACTATTTGTGTGATTGTTTTCTTGTTTTGTTATTGTTTGTTTTTTACCTATTTACTTTTAAATGGATTTTTTTTGTCAGATTAGAAGCTATTTTACCAGACATTCTTGTATTTTCAGTTGGGGACCCTGGGAGCAGGTAACCACTATGCAGAAATCCAAGTTGTAGATGAGATTTTCAATGAGTATGCTGCTAAGAAGATGGGCATCGACCATAAAGGACAGGTGTGCGTGATGATCCACAGTGGAAGCAGAGGCTTGGGCCACCAAGTAGCCACAGGTATATTCTGGACCTAGTTTTTTTCTTTTTTTAAAATATATTTTTATTGATTTCAGAGAGGGAGAGAGAGAGAGAGAGAGAGAGAGAGAGAGAGAGAGAGAGAAAGAAACATCAATGATGAGGCTTGCCTCCTGCATGCCCCTCTTCCCCCCACCCCTCACGCCCACCCCCACCCCCCCACCCCCACTGGGAACCTAGCCCACAACCCGGGCATGGGTCCTGACTGGGAATCGAATTGTGATCTCCTGGATCATAGGGTGACGTTCAACCACTGAGCCACACTGGCTGGGCTGGACCCAAATGTACGTTTTATGGGGAACTATATAGAGATTTAAGAAAGAAAGCTCTAGAGTTATCCTGTGTAGATTTTTACCCTGGTTCTTCTAACTAGACCTTGAAAAAATTAACTTCACTAGGCCTTAATTTCCTTGTCTGAAAAAAAAATGAGAATAATAATTATTTCATATGGTGTTTTCATCGGAGATTAAATGAAATATATGTAAATTATTTACATCAGTGTCTGATGCTTGGTACTCAGTAAATGTTGGCTCCAGCTATTTTGTTGTCCTCTTAAAATTATTATCTGGCCGAGAAAGAGCAAGAAGGACCTTAAATGGGGAATTTATGTTGTAGACATAATATAACAAATATGTCTTAAATTTACGTACTGATTAGGTGTTACAGTGGATTCTGTGATGGAATAGGCAAGAACTCTGCCCTCACATTGTCTCATGAGAAAGATGTGATGTTCATTACAAAGAAAGGGTAAAGACAGAAGGTAGTGATTGATTAAATATTATAGAAGAGACAAAGGAAAAACATGCCAATATTTCAGAAGTGGCTTCATGACCACATAATGTTTGCAGTTTGGACAGTCATAAACAAAGGACACTCATGACCAAAAGGCAGCATGAACAAAAATAGGAGGCAGGGAAATAGTAGGAAGATCGCTCTGAATACTTTGTAGGATGTTTGAAAGGATTTATGAATATATGAAAATTTATAGAGACATGGAAATTATTGTGAACTTTAAATTGCATATTATAGTTCGTCCTTATATGTACATTTCATCCTATGAGAATTTAATAATTTGTGCCAGCCTGACCCCTTAAAATATTTCATGTAGCAAATATATGGAGCATTTACTAGAATTTTTTAACTTTATGCTGAGTACTTCTCTACACTTGTCATGGATTTGATTTTCCTCCAGGTCTGGCAACTTGTATCCAGTTCTTTTACACTAAGTCACTAAAAATTATTTTTAAAAACCATGATGATATAAAATGTTTACTACTTCTGTTCTTATACATTTACATGCCAGTAAAGGAGTAACTAGTACATGTTGTTGCTGTGCATGTACACACCTTGTTTCCCTTATAAGTCCCTGGAGGGCAGATGTTGTCTTTGTAGCCCACTTAGCTTGTGTCACAGTTCTGATAGAAAATAGTCTCAATAATATATCTTGACCAAGCCAATAGATGAACTGAGAAACACTTCAAAGGGAAAGTTGTATTTAACTTCTTTTTTTTGTAGAATGGGTTTGAATGTATCGTACCTTTCTGTAATAAATCTGAATTATTTCATGAAAGCTGGCTGGTTTGGACTTGCTACTCTCTTGTTCCAGATGCCCTGGTTGCTATGGAAAAAGCCATGAAGAGAGACAAGATTATAGTCAATGACCGTCAGTTGGCTTGTGCTCGAATCGCTTCTCCAGAGGGTCAGGACTACCTGAAGGGAATGGCAGCAGCTGGGAACTATGCCTGGGTCAACCGCTCTTCCATGACCTTCTTAACCCGTCAGGTACTTGAAGTTGCTCTTCTGTTCCAACTTATGATGAAGTTAAGTGCTTTAAACAGTGTAGTCAAATCAGGATTTTGGAAATTTATATAATAAATATTTAAAATATTGGCACTGTAAGCTTTTGGTATCTCCTTAAAATAAATAAGCAGACTATCAGGTGTGGGGAATGAGGGAAGAAAGAAGCCAACAATATTCCTGGAATTTTCCTTGAGCCTGGAGAGGCTAGAAGTACCATTCACTACGATTCAGAAGGCTGAGGAAGAGTCAGTTCTGAAGGGAGGGGTCAAGAATTGTCAAGAAGCTTTCCAGCCAAACTTGGAATTTATGGAGTGGAATTCCTAGGTGGTCTAAAAGACAGTTTTTACCTTTACGTGAAGATGAGTAATACTGCTGTTTTTGAACTCTTAAATCCCTCGCTCCCTTCTGGAACAGACTCACTGGGATCAGTAAGATGAATTTTGAAGAGCTGGTTCTGGCTGCATTTAACTTAAGCTTTTTCTTTTAGGCTTTTGCCAAGGTATTCAACACAACCCCTGATGACTTGGACCTACACGTCATCTATGATGTTTCTCACAATATCGCCAAAGTGGAACAGCACGTGGTGGATGGAAAGGAGCGGACCCTGTTAGTACACAGGAAGGGATCCACCCGAGCTTTCCCTCCTCACCATCCCCTCATTGCTGTTGATTACCAAGTATGTGCTAAGCCATTTGTGGTTTCAGGCAGTGGGTGCATGACTTAGGTTAATTTAAATAGGAAAACAGCAGTTATGAAAAGAAAATCTGTCAACCATGAAAACTGATTTCTAATATCTGAAGCAGACTCTCCCCATCATCTATACTTTAGATTCTGTTTTTAAAGACTTTGAATGATTGGAAGACAGGATTAAGATTAAACTCAATCTGTTTCGTTCGTTTTATCCTTTTGGTGTCTGACTGTGATGGAGTTAGAAAGACCTTAACCTACTCCCATTTCACAGATGAGGAAACTGAAGCCTGGCGCGGCAGGTGCCTCACTTAGGATGGTTCCTCCTAATGACCTTTCCCTGAATGCTTTGCTCTTGCCTTCAGTCTGCCTTCTGCTGCCTTACCGGTCTTCCCATTTTTATTCCCTTCATCTTTCCTTCCTTCTCTATTATCAAAGAATCAAAATAATGCCAATATAGTTGTAGTGAAATGCAATTAGAAGCTCAGGTTTCTCCCACAATCCTCCAATATAAGAGGCAATTTAAATCTCAGGCATAAAAAGCTCATGCTTTTCTGAATTTTAACATGTTTGATCTGTGTGCATCCTCAGCTCACTGGACAACCAGTGCTCATTGGTGGCACCATGGGAACCTGTAGTTACGTTCTTACTGGCACTGAGCAGGGCATGACTGAGACCTTTGGGACAACCTGCCATGGAGCGGTAAGGAAAATAAAAACTTACTTAGAAATGCTCTCTTCTTTTTAGTCATTGTTTTGAATTTTAACAGGTAAATGTACTTGATTGAGCATTAACAAAGTTGAGGTTTGGGTCTGGTCTTCTACCTGAATTTATTCCCGTAATATATACTGTCTGGTGAACCAACCGAAGTCATCTATTATCTCTACTAGCAGGGTCATTGTCAGGCCAGCAACTGCTACGGCCCGCGGGCCGGATGCGGCCCATTTGAAATGAATAAAACTAAAAAAAAAAAAAGACCGTACCCTTTTATGTAATGATGTTTACTTTGAATTTATATTAGTTCACACAAACACTCCATCCATGCTTTTGTTCCGACCCTCTGGTCCAGTTTAAGAACCCATTGTGGCCCTCGAGTCAAAAAGTTTGCCCATCCCTGCATTAGCCTAATTGGTACAACTTTAACTGATGCCGGTTTACCTCAAGTTATCTCATTCACCGGACCTAGTCATTTGCATAATTTGCCCCTTACTGGGTGGGTCCAGTCAAGATTTGTGGGATATGCCCTATTTGCAAATCACAGCCTTTGGGTTGACTGCATAACTATATCAACATATTGCCTCTTGTAAGCAAGGCATTGGTAAACTTTTTTCTGTAAAGCAACAGACTAAATATTTTGGGCTTTGGGGGTCATATGGTCTCTGTGGCAGCTGTTCCATTGTGCCATTGTAGTGGAAAAGCAGCCATAGACTGTACATAAACAAATGGGCATTGCTCTGTTCCAGTAAAATTTTATTTACAAAAACAGCTGTGGTAGGCCAGATTTGGCTCACAAACCAGTTTGCCAAGCCCTGTGCTAAGCCATTAGCGTGCTTAGCTAGTGCTGTAGTAGAAAATAGAAGCTGTCTAGAATACCCTCTCATAGCACAAACTATCACAAATATGTTTTAATCCTACTCTTTTCTCTGATCCTTTTTTATTTCCAGCTGCCTCCCAACTCCTAATTTTAACCCAGTGATCAAAACCAGTATGACGTGTCATACACACAAGCATCGTCTGGGGTATTTTTTATCGTCACGCTTGGGGAGGGGAGTTTTCCTCTTGGCATCTGGTGGGTGGAGGTCAAGGATGTTGGTAAACATCCTACAATGTACAGGACAGCCCCCACAACAAAGAATTATCTGGTCCAAAATGTCAGTAAGGCTAAGGTTGGCAAACCGTTATAAACCATAAAGAGTACAAAGCTTTTGTTACAGCATACATACTATTTACAATTAAAAATTAATGTGTTTATATTGAGTTGATAATTAACAGTAATAAGAAATACAAAATTAAATTTATAAAGTGAAGTTCATTTCTTTCCCAATCTAGGGCCGTGCATTGTCCCGAGCAAAATCTCGACGTAACTTAGATTTCCAGGACGTCTTAGACAAATTGGCAGATATGGGAATTGCAATTCGTGTTGCCTCACCCAAACTGGTTATGGAAGAAGTAAGTGACAAAACCTTACTTTTTAATAACTATTTATTTTTTTCTCTGATTTTAAGAACAACACGGGTTTAATTAAGAGATTTTAGGGAATACAAAAAAGAAAACATCTAGAATTCCACCAACCAGAGATAACTAACTACTCTTAGTATATTTTTTACCTGCATATTTTACAATATTTTTATTCAGTTATTTAGCTAATACTTATTAAGCATCTGCTTTAGTTAGGTACTGTTTTAAATGCTAGGAATACTGCAATGAACAAAACTAACATAAATCCCTTCCTTATGAAACTTTCCAAAATAGTAAAACCAATAGTGCATTAGATAATAAGTGCTACAAAGTAAAAATAGGAAGGGAGATACGGAGAGATTGGGAGTGGGTGCAGTTTAAATAGGGGATAGTAAGGTGATGCTTGAATGAAGAGATGAAAGGAGTGAGGAACAGGCTATGTGGGTATCTAGGGGAAAGCTTTACAGGCATAGAGAACAGCAGGTGCAAAAATCCAAGCGAGATTATGCTTGGATGTTTAAGAAACAACAGTTTTTCAGAGTAATCAGAGATAGGGCCAGCAGCTGAGAGTGAGGACGAAGGAGAAAGTATGACATAATTAACTAAAAGAGAGAGAAAGAATAATTGGTCTAGTGAAATTCTAGGTAATTTGCCAGGACAGCACCAAGGACACACTTGAGCTAAATTCAGTGGTTGGGGGTTGTCAAGTGCATTCAGATGTAGAAGTGCAGGCATGAAGTAGAGATTGGGTTACCTTTTATATGTTTACTAGAGGCCCAGCGCACAAATTTGTGCACAGGTGTGGTCTGGTCAGCCCGCCCCGATTGGGGCCTGTCGGCTGGGTGGAGGGGCCACGGGAGGTTGGCAGGCCCCAGCCCCGATGGGGTTGCAGGGGCCGATCGGGGGCAGGAGGACTGAGGGAGGTTGGCCGGCCAGCCCTGCCCCCATTGGGCCAGTTGGCCAGCTGCAGAGTGCATCATAGTGACCAGTCGTTCCGGTCGCTTGGCTTTTATATATATAGATTTTTTTTATTTTAGATAGGAAGGGAGAGGGACAGAGAGATAGAAACGTTGATCAGCTGCCTACTGCATGCTCCCAACTGGGAATCGAGCCCACACCTGGGCATGTGCCCTGACCAGAATCGCACATGACCTCCTAGTTCATGGGTCGATGCTCAACCACTGAGCCACACCGGCTGGGCCAACTTGGGTTACCTTTAATCAGGGTTGCAAGTGCAGCACAGTGAATAAGAAGCAAGATTGTTGAGGGTGTTGCTAAGAGATTGTAGGTCTCATGGGTTTGCAGGATTATCAGAGATGGAACACGATGGGGAGTGAGCTGGAAACCTAGGCTGTGATCACCAGCCTTGGAACAGATAATGAAGGACTTGTGATCATTGGTAATAAATTCTGGGGTATGACCCAGGGAGAGAATGGCCAGGGTAAGCATGGAAGGAACAGAAGTCAATGAACTAAGAAGCCAGGGTACTGAAAGGATCCTCTTCCTCAATACTGAAATCACTCAGAATTATAGCAGGAGAGAGTGACAGTGAGCAAGGGGCTAGAAATCTTCACGAAACGATGGGGAGTGATTGAGACTAACAGATAATTGCAACAAGAAGAGGTAGTAGATGGTAATAAATGCTGACTGCAAGATTCAAAACTGGTAGTGCTTAGGAAGGAGGGAGAATGGTCTGTAAAGAACCAGGAAGAGCAAGGACACGTGTCCCACTCCTCAGCCTAATGGCATGACCTAGTCTGAGAAAGAAGACAGCTACCATTTCAGAAAGTTGGAGGCAGAAGTAACATCCTGAGGGGAAATCCATGATTCAGCAAGAACGAAAAGGTGAAGGGAATGTTAAAGAAGGAAAGAGGGAAAGGATTTTGCACTTGACTCAATGGAAGGAGTTGCAGAGGCCACAGTGGAAAACTCTCAGAAATCAGAAGAGAACAGAGATGGGCCAGAAGGGGGTATGTACGGAGCTGTGTACAGAGCTCTATGCGAATAGGTCTGGGAGACCTGAGCTGCTGTGTTGACGTAAATGGAGATAAAGGGTGTATGTGATGAGATTCATTCTAATGGTGGCAAAACAGTGAGTGTGGGTAGGAAGAAAGGAAGGGAGGTCTTGCTAGAAATCCACAGAATTTGTGTGTGTACATATATACATATATATGCAAACACATACACAGTGTTAGTTATATATATGAATTTTATAACTCTCCCTTCTTGTGAAGATAATACATGTTAATTCCAGGAATTTTGACAACTACCAATAACTCCACCATCTAAAGATATTTACCACTAATAGGGTGGTTTGGTGCATTTCCTTCCAGCTGGGTATTAGTGTGCATGTTTCATTCAGTTGTGTTTGCTGCTTTTCTTAGTTATTCAAGTGATACATGTTCTTTAGGGAAATTTTGAGAAATTTCGAAAAAATACAAAACAAGGTGAGAGTGTTTATCTTACTACCCCTTTACCAACATGAATTTAATCATCTTCTTAATCTTTGCTTATTTGATAGGGAGGGAAAGTCTCAGTATTGTTTTAATGTGCATTTCTTTAATTACAAGTGAAGTTTAACTACACTCCTGCAGGCTCCTGAGTCCTATAAGAACGTGACGGATGTTGTGAACACCTGCCATGATGCTGGAATCAGCAAGAAGGCCATTAAACTGAGACCGATTGCTGTTATCAAAGGGTAGAACCCCGACTGTAGCCATGGACTCCAATGACCCTTACTCAAGTGGAAGTGGACCGAAATGCTCTTCAGATATCAGAACTCAGAGACCTGACAGGTTCCAAAGTGTGTAGCTGTAACCGCCCACTGCAAGTGGCTGATGGGGAGGCTGATGCCTGGGGAGCCAGTGTTATAAAATCACCTTCTGGGAGGAGTCACATGGTCCCCATTTGGAAAGGGATGCATACGCTTCCTCCCTGGTTGTCCACAGATTTTTAGGGAAACCTATTAGGGGATGGGGGTAGTTCAAGAAACCACCTTACTCGGTCATACGAATCTGTAACCATCAGAATGAACTTCTTTACACCAAGCTCTCTCTACATCCTGAGAGGTGTCAGGAAGAACATTCTGTTAAATGAGAAGGTTTTAGAATTTCCTTTCTGCCTTCCTTTTGTCACTTTGTCCATTTATCCACCGTCTACCTCCTTCCCCTGCGCTGAGCAAAATCCTACCACTTTTACTGGGAGAGTATCCACGGGTCATGTCAGGATGTTAGATGATTGGCTGATGGGACACATTGAGGAGGGAATATGTGTGGCAGTGTGGGAATAGGGACCCAAAAGAAAATAATTTTTCATAGAGTTGCTACCTCTCTCATTCTAAATATAAGGCAGAGTTTTGACTTAGCCTGCAAAATGGCATTGGCTGGTATCTGTCATTAATTATGCCTGGTCTGGCAAACCTTTCTTAAATAATAACTTGCACTACAGCAGCAATACCTTTACATGGGTGATGGAATCATTATAAAAGCAGGAAACGGCCACATCTGTGATACTGGTTGCTCGGTGTTGACAAGTTGACTAGTTTTGTGCCACCTAATCACATTTCATGTTATGTACTGACACCTTCAAGATGTTAAAGTAGGTTACTAAGGCCTCAGTTGAATCCAAATAGCCAGTAAAGAGAAAAATCTAATAAAGTTGTAATAGGTTGTTTACATTTTGTGTTTAATATTTTATAGCTTAGGACAATTAGTATTTGTACTTGTGTCACTTTGGTCAATGTTGATGTTTTCTGATTGTCTCCCAGGATGCTTTCAGAGACTCACCCTAAAAAATATTCTTACAACTCATCCTGCAACTTAAAATAACTCTCTTCCCTCCCTCCCCCCACACCCCCATTGGACTATCTTCTAGATGCTATTTGGAAGGCTAGAGAAAAGCAGACTTCCTCTGTAAAATATATGATAGGAAATAACATAGCATGTCTTTACTCTGAGCACTCAGTAACTTAAAATATTTTCTATGGTAGAGCTTGAAAGTTATCAATAAATATAAGTTAGGAATCAACATAATAATTATAGGTTACTTATGCCTTCAGATTGGACCAGTAGCTGTACACAGAAGACTTAAGGGTACAAGTTACCAGTGAATGCTGGAGGGCCTTTAATTTAAAGATGAGAAACAGGCTCTTGGCAGGTGCTGGATTCTCTGGAGATGAAGCAACATTGGAGTGTCCATGTAGACTTCCTATAACTGGGCTTGCCTAATGGTATGTCATTTGAGACTAATTTAAAGCAAGGTTTCCTCCCAAAACTAACTGATGTCAGTGCAAGAAATGCTGCAGATTAACTTAGATACTTTCAGTTTTTTTAGACACTCTAAAATTCTTGACCAACTGGTATGGCTCAGTAGTTGAGAGTTAACCCATGAACCAAAAGATCACAGGTTCAGTTCCTGGTCAGGGCACATGTCCAGGTTGTGGGCTTGATTCCCAGTAGGGGGCATGCAGGAGGCAGCCACTCAATGATTGTCTCTCATTGTTGATATTTCTATCCCTCTCCCTTCCTCTAAAAAAGACAAGTGTGGGTGGAAAAAAAAAAGTTACTCTTCAGAGAAGGGAGCAGGTAAGGGGAAATACAGAGAATAGTTTATGCAGTGGCACTTCTTTATTAGCTTCTCCTATATGTAGCATTTCCAGTGAAGTTGGCCCTATTAATGACCACAGAAAGTAATGGTTAATATTTTGAGTTCAAAAAAAAAGTATAAACATTGTTTCCCTTGTTCTAAAGATGTTACTCTCCCATTTGAGGCAAAAAGCCACTTTAAAATAAATGTTCCAATGAAGCTGAAGTAGCCAGCTGTTTTTATTGCCCGGAATAAAGATACTCCCTGCCTCTACATGTGCACATAGCTGGGAGCGCCCTCTGACAAGCCCCTGTCCGTTCTTTCAAGCATGAAGATGAGTCCTAATACTGTGCACATCTTGGTCCCTTCATAAGGCCTCTTAAGTCAGCCGGTTTATAATTAATCTCAAAAGCACTGACATTCACACTGATGATGGGCTGTGGTATTCCTGTTGTCTGAATGTAGTTAGGAAAACCAGTTCATGAGACAGACAAAATATGAATACCGATTTTCTAATTTTGTGACTATTTCCTGGAGCAACAAAGAAGTGAAGGTTTAAAAATTCAACAAAATCTTGCAGATCTTAAGACACTCCCACTTTAATCTTCATATAACCTTTGAAAACTTGAATACAAGATAACATGTTTTTTAACTTTTCCTATTTTTTCTGCTTAACACCTCATTTTTTCTTCATGTTCACTATCAGGTTTTTCTCCTACTTCTGAAAATTGCTTGTCAGCATCATTGATGTTGCAGAAACATTGACAGCCCTGTGCAAAACTCACACAGCCTATTTTGTCCTTATTTTCTACTTACAGTCCTTACTCTTTTTGCATCTGCTCCAATGCTTGACTATATGGGATTTTCATGTTGTCCAGAGAGCATGACTTGTGCCCATCTTGATCAGTTGAGTTATGAAGATGCTGTTAATTATCCATCAGGCACCTTGGAGCATGCCAAGTCATTATGCTAGATTCTGATCTTTAAAAGCTCTTGCTCTAAAACTAACATCTGAAACACCGGTGATCCAAGAAGATAATGTTACTAGGGGGCATGTTACAGAGAAGTGTGTGGTGACTCAAGTTCTGCCTTGCAGATAGGTAGTAAATGAACAAAGTGCCAAGCACTAGGTGATCACAGTTACCATGACCAATGGTAGAATGAGCCATGTCTCTGGAGGGCAGAGAGCAACACAGCACCATCTCTGAGATGTTCCTGTCAAGAGTGCATGGCCTGAGTCAGCAAACATCAGAGGGACCCACGTTGAGGGTCCTCCTGCAGAATGAAAGTCTGTACACTCAGAACTGTCCAGGAAAGGGAAAGACTTAAAAATTCTTCCAGAATCTGAAAACACATGACAACTGAAGGCAATATATATTCTGGACAGTGTCCTGGACCAAATGGGGAAAACTGACCTTGTTGGGACAGGTGGTGAGATTAGAATAGAATCTATAAATGGGTCAGCAGTGGTGTGCCTTGGTTGATTTCTTGATGGCAGTTATGCAGGGTAGTGTCCTTGTGTTATATTGTGATTAATAAGAAATAATATATTTGGTCGTTTCTGGCACAGAGTTTCTAAAACCCTTGGAATTTCCTAAGTGCTAAGAGGAATAAAAGTGTCTCATTATTCATAGCAAGTCCCTTTCAACTAGACCAATTTATGCTAATGAGGTGATTTTTGGAAAGTCCCTAAGTATGGGGGCTGGTTGCCTAGAGAACCAACCTTGTGATTAGAAGGTTGGAACATTCAGCCCCAACCCTGACCTCCAGGGAGGGGAGAAGGACTGGAGATGGACTTCAATCACCAATGACCAGTGATCTAATCAATCATGCCTACATAATGAAGCCTCCATAAAACAACACAAGGACCAGGTTCAGAGAGCTTCCACAACACATCCCAGTGCCTACAGGGTGATGCACCCCAAACTTAAGGCACAGAAGCTCCTGTGTTTGGGACCCTTCCAGACCTTTCTTCATGTGGCTGTTCATTCATATATATAATATCCTTTGTAATAAATCACAAATCTAGTAAGTAAATTGGTTTCCTTAGTACTGTGAGCTGTTCCAGCAAATTAATCAAATTAATCAAGGAAGGGGTCATGGGAACCTTTGAGTTACAGTCACTCAGTCAAAAGCACAGGTAACCACCGGACTTGGATTGGTGTCCGAAGTCTTCTGGGACTGAGCCCTTTATCTGTGTGATCGGAGGCTATCTCCAGATCAGTGGTGTCGGAATTAAGTTAAATTGGACACCCAGCCAGTGGCCACTAAAAATTTAAGAAGTGCTTGGTGGTATTGGAAAACACATGTCGGTCCTTGTTTGGAAGAAATGAGTGGCTCACTCATGTTTAAAGATTCAGAAAACAACTAATGATAATTAGTACTTAATTATTCAGAGTGGGCAAATGCAGTAAGGTAAAATATAAACAGGGAATGTGGGTGAATGGGGGTGTGGTAGTTCTCTGTACTGCTCTGACAACTTTAATGTAAGTTTGAAATAATTTAAAAATGGACTTACAAATAATGATTTTTTAGAAGGATAATCTCCTATACAAAGTATTTATGGTAGGTCATTTGTCAGCAGGCCACCGCAGTTTTCTCCTATCCTGGGTTCCTCTGCAAGGTGGCTTTCCCCCATCAAGAGGTGGACCCTTCCGTCTCGGTCTGCACTGGCCTTGTGACTTGCTTTGACCAAAAGAATGCAGATCCTGTGTGACTCCTGAGGCTTTGCCCTCCAACGGCCTAGCAGCCTCCATTCTTTCCCTCTTGCTGCTCTGAGATTGGTACTGAAAGAAGTCCAGACCTCCTTGGGGATGAAGGACCATAAAAAGAGAGACCATCTTAGGCCATCCAGCAATTCTATTTCTCTGATAATAAATCATGGCTGTTGTAAGTTTTGGAGTGGCTCATTACACAAATTAGAAAACCTAGCATATTACTGTTTCCTTCATTATACATAAGAATGTAATCAACATTAACTGCTGAACAGGAGTTTTCCTCAGTATCAATACAGTGGTTGTATTTCTCTGCAAAGCTATCCTTGTCTTCCACTAGAGAATTGCTTTGCACATGGGTTAATAGTGATAGAACTTTCTAGTTGATGGAGATCTTATACCTA